CATTGACTTCAGTAGAATGACCTATGACACCCCTATCACTTCAGCACCAGCTCCTTTGGGATGCCTGTTACTTGCCTCTCTCCCTTTGACCCAGACATACATTTCCCATACCAACACCTGGCCCAGCTGGTGTGCCATCTCAAAAGGAATAAGGCTCATTTAATAAGGGTCTAATACATTCATGAATTTTATGTATTATTTAAATGTCTTTTATTTGTAAATAAAACAACAAAGTGATCATGCACCAGACCTCAAGTCATTTCACACAAAGCAGAAGTAGCTAAAGATGGAGAAAAACTCCTTAATGATGTGGCCAATGGCAGCCAACAGCTATGCAGGCAAGGAAGGGAAATCTCTATCTAAAGAAACCCCTATAGAAACTGAAAGCCATTAAACCTAGCCCTGGGTCTGCTGAAGAGTCATCATCACCTAAGCACCTACCATCACAAAGGATCCTCAAGTGCTTAATGAAACATGCTTCCAAAATGCCCCCTACCCCTGGAGTGAGCTGCAGCAGGTGCCCAGCACAATAGATGATTTGCTTTAGGAAGTGAAGGAAGGATTAATGCATCTCCTTGAAATTACAGGCAGGGTATGCAAACAGTTTCTCTTTTACATTACCATTAATACACTAGATTAGGGAACTTGGGACAGGTCCCTGAGCTAAGGGTGATACTGCTCTAATGGCATGTAGGGTTTTATTAAATCCCATTAGAGCCTTCAAAATTGCATTTAAGCACTGCATTGGCCTGGTATTAACCCTCTGCAAATGGGTGGACTTCAACCCTAAAGAACAAAAACCTTCCCCCTTCTTCTTTTCTAAGGCTCCATTCACCCCAAAGCCTGGGCATCCCTGCAGGACACCGGCCCCATGCTGAGCCAGCTGGGCAGTGTCAATTGAATTCCTAGTCCAGGCTGCCAAAAGCTAGATCCAAACGTCCCTGCGGCTCTAAGATCCATCTCTTTCCTCTGCTGCAAAAGGTTTCAAGCGTGATTCTCCGCCCGCATAAACCAGTGTCTGCAGTGGTGTGAATATACTCCAGGGACATCTCAGCCTTTTCATTTCCTTCTCTTGTTAACAGGAGGCTTTAGCCAGGGTGTTTGCACACAGTTAGTTTTCTGGAAGTGAAACTCCCAGATCAGTGTTTATGGAGAACATGTCAGGTCCTGTCTCACTCCAGAGAGCTGAGAAAACTGGGTCCAGTGTTTATTTTACTATGCTGCGAGTTAAGCTCTCAGGGTTATCGTTGAGGGGTTGTGTTATTAACCACTGACCCCTTAAGCTTCAGCTTCATCAACTTTCCATCCCCAAATGCCTCTGAGCAGGGGTAGAGCCGGGCTAAGTGACAACTTCCGAGAACAAAAGGGGAAATTCAACTGTAGCTGTAGCTTTATTGTCTTGAAGTGCTTGGGCTTGATTTCAGAGGTGAGCTTACACCATTTTTACTCCAAAACAACTCTACTGACATCCCACCTGTGAGAGCAAGGAGGAATTACCCCGCTGGGACAGATCCTTACCTCATGTAAATTGGTCTCAGTGGAGGTACAGGCATTGCAGCAGCTCTGGAGCTGGGCTGTTATTTAGCAGAGAAATTCTGCCCTGCTTTGGCCGAGTACAGCCAGTGGGTGCTTGAATTTTGCTCCTCTATCTCTGCTGTTGCATCAGTTACCATCACAGTGTCTGAGGACCTAGAACTGCCAACACCGGGACAATTGGTGGAGTCTGAGCCAGTGGTTCTCAACCTTTTGGACTTGAAGCACCCTTCACTTGACTCAAGGTGCCCCTCATCAGACTTGAGGCCCCTGCCATAAAGTTTGTGAACTGAGTGACACCCAGTTTCAAAAACTAATTTATATATTACCTTCTTCACAGGGCCTGGTTAAGGAGTGAGGGATCGTCTAGCTGGGACGAGCCTGAGCGTGGCTTATGTGCTTATCTCCTCTCTCAGTTACTTATCTCCTCATACCTCGTGGCACCCTTCAAAGGATCTTGTGACACCCCGGGGTACTCCAACACCCTGGTTGAGAATCAGTGGTCTAAGCCCACCAGTTTTCAGCAGCTCCAAAGGGCCTATGCCAAAGCCAAGGTATTATATTTAGGCACCTTGCACAACAGATATATATACTGAGAATATATATAAAGCGTATGCCAAAAACACCTCCACGATTTCATTTTTATTTTTTTTATCTAGAGAAAAACCACAAACTGAAATTTCACAAGTCATCTCCCGTTCTGCCTTGCACCCCTTGAAGAAACAGCCTCAAGAAATACCTTTGGGACCTGGGCAGCATTATGCAAAGGAGCATAATGATTCACACAGAGCTCATGACAGCTCTTCCTTTGGGATATTTCATCAGCTTAACGTGTACTGTGCACTAATTTGTAAGGCATTTTCAATCACCTTATTCCAAAAAAAAAAAAAAAAAAGGTTAAATGATCA